TTATTATTAAAGCAACTACTCTCTTCAAAGTTTTAGAGAGCTTTGCTGGGTGATGGTGGCTATGGGTAAAAAATTTGGAGAAAGTACTTACTAAAGTCCCATCAAGCTCTTAGCTATGTGCTATGAGCAATAATTTCACAAAAGTATAAAGATTTTATTAATTTTAAGACAGTAGATCAGTATAATCCAGAGACTGACTAATACAAGTTTAGTCAAATACCTGACATAGTCTGACTGTGAAATTCTTCCCTTGTTTTTACTTCTCTTTCTCTGATAACATTTGAAAATTCACCTTTAATAGTCCATTAACATATTTATTGAATAACTGCTGTGGGCAAGACACAAATCTGTGTACTATGGGAGATTTTTACCAGACAGAGAACTTTTTCTCCCATGGATGCTTACAATCTAGTTAACATGATAACAGATTTCCCTAAATAAGCAATTAACAAAGCAGTAAATAATAAATGCTGAAAGAGTGTTACAGATAATAAGTACTATGAGGAAGTTAAAGACCTGCTTCTTTCTGCTCCAGTAATTGCTTATACATACCCTTATCAGACCAATTAACAAGGATAATTATTCACTTGCTGAAGATAATTTACCTGCTGTCTCTTCTACCAGAATGTAAGCCTCTTGAGGACAAGAACATAGTTTTATTCATCATTGTTTCCTTGATGTTTAGCACAGTATTTGGTATAAAATAAATACTTAATATGTTCTTGATCAATGAATGAATGCATGAATAAATAAATGTTTTCTTTTCTTTCTTTCTTTCTTTATTTATTTATTTTATTGCATTTTAGAAATAAATGTTTTCTAGAGGCAGGCATTTCTTTTGTGGCCAGTACAGTATAATGGTAAATCTCTGGAGTGAGGCTGTGTTGGTTTGAACCTAAGCACTACCTTTGAAAAGTGTGTGATTCTGAAAAATTTAACTGATTTCTCTCCATTTCATTTTGCTCATTAGTAAAATGATAATAATAGTACCTTTTGTCATCAGCTAATTTGGCTATGGAACAAATCACCCCAAAAGCTAATGACTTGAAACATCAGCCATTGATTTAGCTCAGGGTTCTGTGGATCTGTCATTTGGAGTATTTTGGTTCTCCTGTCTCAGCTGGGCTCATTTATGCAACTGAGTTCAGGTATCAGGCAATCTGGGGAATGTCTTGTCCATGCAGTGTGTCATCTTCTACCTGACTAGCCTGGGCTTCATCACATGGCATATGACAGGGCTCTAAGAGGGAGAGTTGAAACATACAAGGCCTCTTGAAGCTTAGACTCAGAATTGGCACAAGGTCACTTCTGGCACATTCCATCAGTCAAAGCAAGTTACAAGGTCAGCTCACATTCAAGGATTGAGTAAGTCGATTCCACTCTTGATGAGAGGAGCAGCAAAGTCACATTATAATGTGGTATGTATACCAGGAAGTGTGGAAACTTTTCCAATCTTCCATACTCTTTCATAGGATTAGCAAGAGGATTAAGAAAATAAAACATCTAAAGGATTTAGAACAGTGTCCACCACGAAGTAATAAACTCAACAAGTAGTATCCATTATTATTCTGTTGGAGGTTGCCAGGAAAAGTTTTATAGTGGAAAGAAATCTGAGTTTACTCTTGAGAGATAAGCGGGATTTCTATGGGTGGAGAATGAAGGCCTTTCTAAAAGACAGCCTAATAATAGGTGCTGTGGTTTAATAGTAGAGTGTGTCTGGAACAGGATGCCCAGGGGAGCTACAGCTAAATACTGGGAACCTGGAATGCTGGCTACAGAGTTGGACTTCACAGCAGAGTAATAACAAACCATTGGCTTTTGCCTAAATGTTAGCCAATAGCACCATTTCTTATTGTTATTTCAGATTTCCTGTTGTTTAATAAGCCTCTCAGTGCTGATGGTTTTGTGATATCTTTGGCCACGTCTACTCAAGATTTAAAAATAAAGAACTAGAAATCTGTGAGTTGTGCCTGGGTTTTGCCACTCCCTAACTTCGAAGGAGCTACGTGATCCTTCTCTACTCAATTTTACTCCATGAGTAAAATGGAATAATTTCGTCCTTTATCCATCCATTCCACAATGATGGTAATCTTAAAGGTCATATCACATTGAAGTAGTGCTTACTACCCAAAAGACACAGGGCATACCAGGCTCTGATGTTTATGCAATCTGGTGATAACTCATAAATCATAAGCAGAAAAGTCAAGAATGAGGAAAATAATGTTTTAGTGTGGCTGCCCGTATATGTTAAGCAGCAAAACATTTCTAGAACTGCTCTAAAGATAATCTTCAGTTCCTCCAGTCCAATGAGATGATCCTGAGCAACTGGAGCCACTGATAGGCCTGGATCTCTGCCACCTTGAAGGCTGACCAGACAGCTAGAAGCTAATGGCAGCTCGAGTAGACTGCTCAGTGGCCATAGTTTCAGAATCTTTCCATTGTACATGGTTTAAATACAAATTCACTAATGAATAATTTTGATAATTCTATCGAAGTCTGAAGACGGCTTGTGTTAGATGACTACACGATCATATTTAATTTTTTTAAAAAAGGCAATTCTGGCTCCTCTTATGCCACGTGAAATCCACCCTGCTCAGTGCTCCTGACTAGTCACGTCCTTCCTGCCATTTTAAAAACAATAGTGGCAGAGATGCAAGCTGCTGATAGTGCTCAGCAGGACAGATCAAACACACAGATGCAATTTCTGTATGTTGAACAGTGAAGTAGGATAAAATTCAAATACTTACAATCGCTTAGTAGCTAGCATCTGATTGCTGCAAATTGAATCTTTCATAACGAGATTTATTGTAAATAGTGTCATCTCATTTGTGAGTTCCGCAATAATTTCAGTCAAAGCCAGTATAAGATACTGGAGGTGTGAGATTTACATGACATGTAGGCTAGTTTATGCACAGATTATGAAGGGACTTTTTGTTAACAATATTCTTTTTTAATTGCTTACAAAATAAGCAGAATTGTATTTTTTTCTGAAATTTAAAACATTATCAGATAACATAACCTTAGAATGCAGAAGAAAATGTTTTTATCCACTTCATTTCAACAGCCGTTTTAGAATCGCCAGCTCCCAACCTCTCTCTCCCCCTTCCACCCTAGTTGTTAAATAAGCATTAAAATTATAGGTAGTTAAAATTTTTGAAATGTGGCTTTTATCTGGTTTGGAAGCAATAAAGAGCCTGGTAATCATAATTAGTGACCAATATATCCTGTCCATAAAAAATAAAATAAATAGAAATTTGAGACTAAGCTATTTTGAGGCCTACAAACACACTTTAATTCTTTCACGATAAAACAAGAAAGTAGCTATAATTTAAGTGATCAATACTATTTTGCCTTTGGGCTTAGTTCCAAATACTTCATGAGTTCATAAAAGATCAACATCAAAAGCATAATATAAAAATTGCACTTTACATGTATGAGAGTTTTGTAACACTACATACTTGGTAGTTTCGATTGCTAGTGACACAGAGCTCCAAAAAGGTTCTTAGAGTCACATGATCTTCCTCATCAACACCCAAAGAAGGTAAATTCAAAAATAAAAATAAAAACAAATAATAGGGCCAGAAGAATTGGATAATCTGTTCTTTTTTTCCCCCCGCCCTAAACAAAAACAGTAGTAAAATTCTTTTCTATGATTTAATCATGTAGTGGGGCATTTCCATTATAAAAATAAATGTGAGAATGCAGCATCTCAGCAGGATCTGACTACGGAAGTCTTACTCTCAGATAATCTAGGGCCTTGACCAAAAAAAAAAAAAAAAAAAAGTGGGCTTTTGTGAGGGTTAAATGCTTCAGTTTGATCCTCCTTAATTTATTTGAGAGTGAATATTCCATGTGCATGTTAATGTTATCATCGTAAATGGGGAATCCCTATTTCTGAAGCTCAATATTTTTAGTTTTCCCCCCTTTCCTAAGCAGGTGTCTTTCCACCTCTCACAAATCAAAGAGGATGATGGGGCTGTGAATAGATACCTTGCAGTGGTGCCCTAATACAGATTTTTAATAAGTTTACTAATCAAAGCACATATAAATTAGGATAAATCATATCCATATATTTAATAGCAAATAAGCTCAATGTAGCTCATATCCAGCTTCCTTCATGTTCATTTTACTCAAGGGCATACCTTCCTTTTTCTGCTTCTTTTTTTCTTTCTTTCTTGGACACCTCCAACCCCCATTGACAACTGAAATGCAGGGCTATAAATGTAAGGGTGCAATACATCATGAGATAAGTCTGGAGAACATGTCCTCTACCAAAATGCACATGAATCTCTGGTACAGCTAAAATTCCAGAAACACGCTGGGGTTCCTTTTACATGCTAAACAGGGGCAAAAATGTGAGCACGACGTGGTTGTCCTTATATATCAGATGAGCTCCAAAGTTGAAAGGTTACATTTGTGAATTGCAGCCGGGTTTCCTAGCACTTGATTCTAGCTCCTGCAAATCAAATACTCCTAATTGAAATACAAATCCAACAATATGATAATCTTTCAATAAAAAAATGTGACTTCTGCAACCTTATCTGTTGACAAGCTGACAGAGAAGTTCAAAGGCAGTTGTTTAACCAGACAAAATGATAGAGAAAATATGTTTTCAAATAAGATCATAAAGCTTGAATAGTGCTTTATGGGAAGCAAATGTAAAGCAAAGGGCTGTCCTCTATGCTACCAGCTCTACTTCCCCCACCCTGGTGTGTTTCCTCAGCCACTCACCTTTAAGGCAAGGGCTAGTGTCTTCCAAGTCAGACTCAAACCCCAAATACCCAAACAGAATAAAGTGGTATCTTAGCATACTTTGAGATCAGACTGTTTCTGCATTTCATAGTGCTGGGATTTGGGGGGGGGTGGGGGGAAGGGAAAGCAGCATACCAATGTAGTGAAATCTGGAAACAACAGCATATATACAGACACAAAAAAAGTTTGCATATTGCACAGAGCGCTTGAAGATCATAAATCTATGCATGAGAAAGATGTAGTGGAAATTTTGGGGGGGATTAGAGTTTATTTTTGTCATCTCTGTGAGACAGCTACTCATTCATCCAGATCACAGCTAAGAAAAAAGCTGGTCACAGAAATTAGCAGTTTCAGCTCAGCAGCGAAGTCGCCAGCCTGTGAAGGCAGAGAGAAATTGACTAATTAGCAATGCGCACTAAAACTTGACGGTTCTTTATAGAGAGAGAGAAGAGAGAGGGAGAGAGAGGGAGAGGGAGGGAAGGGGGGCTCGCTTTTTCCCCTTCTTTCTTCCAAAGATGTTTGAAATCGCAGTCATTTACGCTCGACAATTTTTACAATAGCCTTGAGCCATAATTTTGCGAGTCTCTCCAGCATCCATCCCCCTGTATGGTCTCTCTCTACTGGCCAAGCACGACCGTTTCTCTCCCCAACCGTGGATTTCCTATTACTCTCGTTACGACTCACTGAGCCCCAGGCCCAAGGATAATGATGTGTTGTTTCTTGGTAGCATAATTTGTCACACGTACATTTTTTCTTCTTCTTCTCTTGCAGAAAGCTCTGCTCCCTCTCTCTCTCCCTCTCTCTCTCCCTCTCTTTCTCTCTTTTCTCCCTCTCCTACATTTTCTTGCTGTTGCTAATTCATGGTGATCAAATGATGTACGACAAAATAAATTGTAAAGAGTGACTGCCTGGAGTTGGGAACCAGAAGGTGTTTTTCCCCCTCCCAAGGAGAGAGCAAACCTTTAAAAAGGAAGGACAATTGATTTTTGGGGGGAGCTTAAGTGAGCCTTGACTTTGCAGCTGGTTGAGAGCAGGTAAGTTTCTGGCCTTGTGTCTGCCTTGTGTGTATTTTGTTCTGTCTTTTGGGTTGTTGGAGGGGGAAGGGCCAGGGAGGGAGTCTTTCAGAGGGGTTGGGGGGTAGTTGTGTGGCAAACGCTCATAAAGAATAAAACTCCTATTGCAAGAAATAAGCAGATGAGGAGGAAAGGCAAGGGAGGAGAACAAGGAGGAAGGGGAATAGGAAAAGATGGGGGGGCGGGGGGACAACGAAGCGGAGAGAGCTAGAGAGAGGTATGACCGGGTCCTCTTAAAGGGAGAGGGACTCTGTAAGATGTTTCAGGCAAGCCAGAGCTTTGGGGGAGGGCTTGGGGGTGCTGCCGGGGGAGGGAGCGCGAGGGAGGGTAGGGTCCACCTGGAACAGGATGGTAAAGTGAGTCGAAAGGAGCCCAGTCCGGTATAAATAGGAAGCCGGCGATCCAGGACTGGCGCCAGGCAGGGCAGAGTGAGCCGCAGTGGAAGGGGCAGGTCCGGCGGGATCCCTCTGAGCCGGGCGGCGGCGGCGGCGGCGGCTCTCCCCGGCGGGCGGGCGCGCGGGCGGGATGCGAACAGAGGGTCCCTTTCTGCTCAGCCCTGGAAGGTGCAATTACAGGTTAAGGACCGAGCGTATCGATTTCGCCTCGCCTCCCCCGCCCTGCCCTCCTCTGCCTAGATGCGGGCGGCTCAGACTTTTTACAGAAGTAGTTCCAGGGCCGGGGGAGTGGGGGTGCCCGCGTCGGGGGCCGCTAGGGACTCTATCGAGGGGATCGGAAGGGAGCTGCGGCTGCGGGCGACGACGCTAGATGGGGCGCGGAGACCCTGCACCCCACTGCGCTCCCGCCCCCCCCCCCCCACCGCCTCATTCCACAGTCCCCACCCCTCCCCCAATACCTGCCTTCTAACTTGAACTTCTCATAGTTACTGGAGTTAAAGAGACTGCGACTGGTGCCCGGGAGGGAGAAACCTCCCTAGCTCCCGGATCCCGCTCCAAACGCGCCCCAGCAGCCCCACTTCCTCCCCTGGGTCCTTGGTGCCGCCCCGAGCTGGAAGGGGAGATAGATGCCTGAACTTCTGCCCTTTGAAATGAGGGAGACCCGGGAGAGGGGGCCGCCGGGTGGGGGTGGGGGTGGTGGAAGGATTCTCCTGCCAGGTTTAAAGGCGTCTCTGGAAAATTAGCCAAACTGAGTGGTGACGGGGAAGCCAACAGTTTGCGAAGCAGGGAAGCGGGCAGGGCCGGGTTGAGGGAAATGAGCTCGAATTGATAAGGACAGCTCCTGCCTCTGCCGAGTCCACTGAGCGGGTCCTCACCGCGCTCCGCTGCACTTTCCCGGGAGAAGAAAGGGCTTTATCTCCTCCCTCAGACTATTAGCCTAGGAGTTTCTTGGGGCAGCATGGATAATCGAAGGGGGTCCCAGCATTTGGAGAGCTAAGATTCGCCCATCCCGCACGCTTGTCGGGCTCCCGTTCCTACCCCCTCCCCCAAACTGGGCCAACCGCGAAAAGCAAAGCTTCTGGCACAAGTCGACCTGGAACCTTCGCCGTCGGTCGCCTCTGAGCTTTCAGGGCACCCCCGGCTCCCCACTCCCCAGCCTTTCCCTTCATCCGGCCCGGCATGGACACGAGCCCACGAGGTGCCTCGGCCTCAGCCGCCACTTTGCCGTCGCTGCTGCCACTGCTGTTGCTGCCAAGAGCCCAGCTGAGGTGGTTTTAGGAAAGTGAGGGACGAAGTGTGTGGGAGGTGGCGAGAGGAGTCGCAGGGAGCAGAACCGGCGCCGGGACCCCGGACTGGGCCCTTCTGGTGGCGCTCACGGATCCAGCGTCTTCGGACCTTCCTCCGAGGGTCGGGGTCCGGAGCGCGCCCGGAGGGAGCCGAGCTGAGCCTTGATTCTCGTTCTCCGCCCTCCCCTCCCCTTCACACCCTTCCCCACCCCGACCACACCCCACCCCCTCCACCACCCTGCTCCCCTCGCTCCCATCCCCCACCCCTGTCTGCCAGGTTGGAGGAGGATTTAAAGCCAGGTGCACCGAGTCAGCTCGCCATGTCCAGATCCGGGGACAGGACCTCCACCTTCGACCCCAGCCACAGCGACAACCTGCTGCACGGCCTCAACCTGCTGTGGAGGAAGCAGCTGTTTTGCGACGTGACCCTAACGGCCCAGGGCCAGCAGTTCCACTGCCACAAGGCCGTGCTGGCCTCCTGCTCGCAGTACTTCCGATCGCTCTTCTCCAGCCACCCCCCTCTCGGGGGAGGGGTCGGCGGCCAGGACGGCCTGGGAGCCCCCAAGGACCAGCAGCAGCCGCCGCAGCAGCAGCAGCAGCCGTCACAGCAGCAGCAGCCGCCGCCGCAGGAGGAGCCCGGGACTCCTTCCTCCTCCCCCGACGACAAGCTGCTGACCAGCCCCCGGGCCATCAACAACCTGGTGCTGCAGGGCTGCTCGTCCATCGGGCTGCGCCTGGTGCTCGAGTACCTCTACACGGCCAACGTGACCCTGTCCCTGGACACGGTGGAGGAGGTGCTGTCGGTCAGCAAGATCCTGCACATCCCCCAGGTCACCAAGCTCTGCGTGCAGTTCCTCAACGACCAGATCTCGGTGCAGAACTACAAGCAGGTGTGCAAGATCGCCGCGCTGCACGGCCTGGAGGAGACCAAGAAGCTGGCCAACAAGTACCTGGTGGAGGATGTGCTGCTGCTCAACTTCGAGGAGATGCGCGCCCTGCTGGACTCGCTGCCGCCCCCGGTGGAGTCGGAGCTGGCGCTCTTCCAGATGTCCGTGCTGTGGCTGGAGCACGACCGCGAGACCCGCATGCAATACGCGCCTGACCTCATGAAGCGCCTCCGCTTCGCCCTTATCCCGGCCCCGGAGCTGGTGGAGCGGGTCCAGTCAGTGGATTTCATGAGAACCGACCCAGTCTGCCAGAAGCTGCTGCTGGACGCCATGAACTACCACCTGATGCCCTTCAGGCAGCACTGCAGGCAAAGCCTGGCCAGCAGGTAGGAGACAACAAAGAGGAGGGCGGGGGGTGGGGGGGGAGAGCCAGAGAGGCCAGAGGGAAGGGAGGGGGCAGGGAGGAGGGGAGAGATGGGTGGGCTGGGCGGGAGGCTCTGACAGAATGAAAACAAACGCAAACAATTCAGAGTGTGTGGGGAAAGTTGACTTCAGAGTCCCTGAAAGGTCAATAGGGAACTGGCCTAAGAGCATCCCCAAGCGCTTCAAAGCCCAGGTTCTAGATATCTCCAGAGCCCTGAACATGGGAGCTGTGGACTCAGACTAAAATTGACAGGCAGGTGGGGCCAAAGGCCAGGACAGCTAGAAGTGTAGCTTTGGAAGTCTCTCCAAGCCCGCCCTTTCTACAGATGGGCTTGCTCAAGAAAAAGAATCCTGTGGTGAGGAATGCTTACCCCACCCCTCCTCAGTTCTGCCTTGGGTGAGCAGAAGAGCCCAGGCTACGCTTGCAAAGGAAGGCTCTCATGGTCTTGCTGTAACACACTCAAGCTTTTTCTTCATGACTGGGATCTGCTCCCTGTGGATGTCAGAGCTTCAAAATGCTTTGTCTTTTAGAGTCACTGTTGGAAATGCTGGTATCGTGTGCCCAGGCAAACTTCTCTATGTTGTGGAAAGCCTTTCCTTTTCACTTTTAAAGGAGAGTAAAGCAAGAGATTTCAAGGTGATGGGGTGAATCTTTCCTAGCAACTCCCATTTCAGGGAGGAGTGCAGTTGAAAATTGAGATGGGGGAATGGAGAGGCTTCTAGCTCCAGTTGGTCTGTGTGCTTGCTCACCAGTGACAAAGAAGTTGGGAAGTTGTTGCTGCTTCTGTTGATGCTAGTTAGAAATGTGGCTGTGTGTGTTGCAAGTAGGATTTCAGGGGAGAGAGAAATGATGTCTTTTTAAAATGCTGCTGAAGTAAAAAGGTTGTAGGAATTGACAATCGTGTTTTATTGGCTCCGATTTTAAAACCATTTTTAATGAGCCCTAGCAAAGGGTTTCGTTCTCTTTTTAGAAAAGAGAAACAGTATCCTCTCTGTTTCTCATGGTAAAACATCATTATTCCCGATGCCCAGCTACTCTAGCCTAACCACCAAAGTATTACATTAGCAGAGTACATGGTTTGAAAACCTGCCAGGGCATTTTCCCCATTTAGAATGATATCTAAAGGATGAGGTCTACCTTGTGCAGCATTATAGAATTAAATTTGTGTGTGTGCACGCGCACGTGTGTGTGTGTGTGTGTGTGTGTGTGTGTGTGTGTATTTTCCATTATGCTTCCACCAGACCTAGGTAACTAAAGTTTCAATAAATGGAAGATATTCTCTACACTTTTTTAGGCAGCCCTAGTGTTAAGGAGAGGCCAACAGAATGCATGAGAAATCTTGAACTTGTAATAAAACCCTGTAAGTTGATTTTTCTAACATCTGTGGGAGATGAGTTAATGAATCGTGGTGTCAAAAATGATACTAGGACAATAGAATAAACAACAATCTAAATCCCCATGTGCTTTAACAGGGAGCACAAGAGGCTAATGAGGGGAAAAAAATGAAATGTGTTTTTATTTTATTGGAATTTTTCATTTGTCTAAAGATCAAAATGGCAAACTCAGTGTGATGGGCAATGGGCACTGGTGATTAATATTCTGTCATTTAAATTTTTATCACTTTTAAATGACCTACAAGTATACTTACTTCATTTAGCATATATCATACATAGTCAGTAATTCAGACAACACAGTTATGGTCCTGAACATACATTTACTCATACTTTTGAAAACATGTATAATCTAGTATAAATTCAGAAACCCAGAGGGATAATAAAATTAAGATTTAACTTATTCTAAGAGTAATTTTGGCAGATGAGCTTTATAAATTTGATCCAGTAAATAATTTCTGAAGCCCTCAATGCACTTTTATCTAATAGGTATGTCTTAAGATTTAATGTTTGAAGAGTTGACTTTCAAAATGCAAAATCCATTTCCCACTTTAGTCTAGATTCAGCACACCAGCTAGGGCCTGCTGGCTCTGTCCTGGTGGATGGCTGAGATACCAGTCTGCCTGGCTCCGTGACGACACCTTCCAGCTTCACTGGGCCACATCATTTGAAGGATATGTAGTGGTGTCTGACCACTAAATGCTTACAAGTGTCATGGTTGCTGCAAGAATCTGATACTTCTGCAGTAGGAAGAAAACTGTATTTTATTTTAAAAGAGGAAGATATAGAAAAGAAAATACATAGCTCATATGAACCAATCATTGACCTCAACATAATATAATTTAGGCTTTATTCCATTATTAGTAAATGCAGCATTTTGAATTTACAGACTAATTACATTATTTAGTTCACAGGAAGAATGCCAAAATAACCATGAAGTTCCTAACTTTAAAGTAGACAAAAATGCTATAAGTTGCAACCAACAGTATTAAATCAGGCCATTTATTATAGCATAAGTATAACATAAAAATATTTCCTCAGCCTTACATGTAGTTTAACAGGGGGATAAATGTGTTAACCAATTGTTTTTGAGATTACATCACTTTTACTGAAGACAATTGAATAGAAAGACCTTGTGTTTATTACTTTTTATCCACCTGTGGTTTTTAAACTATAAATATAAAAGAGCTTCTTACATTCAGAGAGGGAGATGAAAAATTAAAATTGATCAGTCTTTTGGAATAAGTACAAAATATGAGAAAATAGAAAACTTCAAAAGAGAATTTACTTGTTTAAGAATATATGTTATCTATAGAAAGTAGAGATTAAAATAATCATACTTTAAACATTTTAAGGATTATTAAATAATTTTGAATCTTTGTTAAGTCTAGAAAAGTAAAGGAACCCAAGCATAAAATCTTTATACAAATCCTCCAATTAATTTAAAATGCTCCCTCTTGTTGCTTGGTTTTTCTGAGTGTACCAGTTGCACTCAAATTCATATTCCATTTTACCAAACTAAACACAAGGACAATGAATAAAATAAGAAACTTATCACTCTGTATTCAAATATACACATAAGTAATTTCAGATAAGACTAGACAAAGGATGTAAAGCTTCAGTTAGACAGGAAGAATAAGTTTTAGTGATCTATTGCAGCATCAAGGTGACTACAGTTAGTAAAAAAAAAAATTGTATATCTCAAAATCGCTAAAAGAGTAGATTTGAAATATTCTCAACATAAAAAATGGTAAGAAGGTGAAGTGATGGATTATTAAATCAGCTTGATTTAATCTATCTACAAGTCAATATTAAAATCATCTAAAGCATAAAAATTTAATTTCATAAAGTGACATATGCAGTGTTTAGTACATTAAATGTAAGTAACAGAAGACCTGTAGTCTAAATTTAGCTAAAGCAACCCAAATACTTTCTTTTTTTTCTTTTTGAAATGTTAATTCATAATTTAGAAGTTATCCCAAATAAATCAAATTAGACTAGATATTAACTAGATAAAATTAACTGTTTTACATTTTCATTGCACCTCACACAAGGTAACAAATAAATAGTTATTAAAAGTTGAATGAATTAAGATTATGAAATAAGAAGGGCTCAGTGTTGTACTTCATCAATACATTAATCTCTATTACTATTACACATAACAAAAGTTTGCTGAACCTTCTCCAAGAAAACACCTTTAATAGAAATACATTGATAAAAGTAATCATGTTTTTAAACATTTAACAACTACCTATTAAGTCCTGTGTAGAGTCTCTGCGTACTTTTAAAGAAATTATATTTTGTAAATAATAGGAGACTACCTAAGATTTCATTTTCTACAAAACATAGTCTAAAGATTTCTTATAAATTAATGTGAAAATATATTTAAACATCAAGGGTACTAATTATCTATCTGCTATAATGACTCGGAATAATTAAAAAGCCATTAAATTTCCAAATAAACAGTTTTGATTCCTGGCTTTGGTGCTTAGAAAATGTTTCATTAAATGTAGAACAATATTTTCTATTGGTTCTCTTTCTAAGAACGGAATAATAACCTTAACAAAGCAAACTAATCTTGTATCCATGCATTCTCTAAATTGTTACTTCCCTTTATATCAATTCGATACCCTCAGATTAGAAATTGTTAGGTAGTTAAATTTTGTATCAGAAATTATTCAACCATTCAGAATACAATTTGTTTATTATCTGAAACAGGATCA